ACTTAGTAAAAAAAAAAAAAACCTTGAAAATATAATAATAATATTAATAATAATAACAAATATTAAAATAACACTAGGATGTTGCTCAGTAGTTGTTTATTGGCCCAAGACCAAAGAGCACACAACTAAGTCTGTAGATATGGCTTGGGTCCCTCAATGCAAGTCCCCCACCCCCCTTGTTTTAATTGTTTGGCGAAAATCAGGTCAAAAAAATATCATAGCACACCTTTCCAAACATGATGAATACTGTATGACTTAAGAGTCAGGGGTTTGTTCAAATCCCTTAAGCATGAGCAATAATAATAATGCTTACCTCAGTGGGGTTTCCCAGTGTAATCAACAGAAAAACTACTATTGCATGAACCCAGTTACACATATCCAAAAGTTATAAATTCAAAGATTTTATTTTAAAGGACCATTTGTCTTGGATAAAGCAGAGCCCTCGAACCGTGTTTCATGTGGTCTCCTGCTGTTTATTAGCTCTTTATAATTCTCAATCAAGGCATCATTAAAATGTTATAGTTTCATATGAGAACAGTCTATGAACGGTTGCCGTCAGCCCTTTTTCCAGACGCTGCTGCACTAATAGAATATGCAAGTCCTGTGGGAATCCACGGCCTAATCCAGCTCAGAAACACACGTGCTGGACTGATGTTTTGTCTGGCATGCGTCCTGCTGAAGGCTGGCTCTCTCTACAGCTTACTTATGATGGAGTGAGATCATCAATCAGACGGCAGGAGCATAATGACAAAATCACAGAGCTATTGATCGGTCGGGCCTGTGTGGGGTGGAAGACACAGTGCTTGTTTACAGCCAGAGGACGGATAAAGCTACGCAGATCAATCAGACGAAGCCGAATGGATGGAGCAAGGCGGCTGAGACAACAAGAGAAGACATCTGAGGAGCAGCCTATTTTTTCCTAATGGCCCATGTTGTGCTGAGCTGTTTTAAGCCCTTTGTTGAATAGTCTGTGATGCTAGCACATCACACACAGTCAGATCTTTTCAATGAATCCCATCCAAATGGTTCATAAATAAACAGTCTAGAGTCAACAACTCACCGACATGCATATTCATTTTTTATTTTTTTTAATGAAAGGTAACATTTTATTGAGAAAGGATGGATTAAATTGATCAAAAGTCACATTAAGGACTTTTACACTATTACCAAAGTCTTCTATTTCAAATAAATGCTGGCCCTTTGTTGAATAGTCTGTGATGCTAACACATCACACACAGTCAGATCTTTTCAATGAATCCCATCCAAATGGTTCATAAATAAACAGTCTAGAGTCAACAACTCACCGACATGCATATTCATTTTTTTATTTTTTTTAATGAAAGGTAACATTTTATTGAGAAAGGATGGATTAAATTGATCAAAAGTCACATTAAGGACTTTTACACTATTACCAAAGTCTTCTATTTCAAATAAATGCTGTTATTTTGAATTTTCTATTAGTTCTCACTGAAATATTAAGTTTTCAACAACTGTGATTATTGACATAAATGCTGTTATTTTGAATTTTCTATTAGCTTTCACAGAAATATTAAGATTTCAACAACTGTTTTTACATTGAGAATATTAAGAAATGTTTCTTGAGCAGCAAATCAGCATGATTTCTGAAGGATCATGTGACACTGAAGACTGGAGTATTGATGCTGAATATTCAACTTTGTAATCACAGGAATAAGTTACACCTTAAAATATATTCAAATAGAAAATAGTTATTTTAAACTGTGATAATATTTTACAAAATTACTGTATTTTTAAGTTGAATGCAGACTTGGTGAACATAAAAGACTTCTTTCAAAAACAGGTTAAAAATCATATTGATCCCAAACTTGAACGGTAGTGTAATATGCAATGAATCGCTAAATCTTTTTTTTTTTTTTTTTTAAATAGTTAATTGAAACACATTTTTCATTAGAAAAGATTTGTGGAAAGACTTCCCATTAGTAGTAATGAATGTTAACAAGGAGCACAAAACAGGGATGGCCATGCTAAAATTTTATTATATCCATATAAACAGATGGAACCATTTCTGAGACAATGAGGGCTGATATTACAACCGTTGTATTCATTTTAAACGATCTGTATAGTCTATTACTTCATAACTTGTCCTGCACCTGTGCTACAGATGCAAATGACACCTCATTTCATGCATCAGACATACAGTTTTTGCCAGGTGGGCAAAACAATCTCACAGACTTTTGCTGTGAAATCTTTACTGATTTTTATAAAGTAAACATTTCAAGATGAACAATGAATATCCTACTTTTATAATCCCAAACTTGAACGGTAGTGTAATATGCAATGAATCGCTAAATCTTTTTTTTTTTTTTAAATAGTTCATTGAAACACATTTTTCATTAGAAAAGATTTGTGGAAAGACTTCCCATTAGTAGTAATGAATGTTAACAAGGAGCACAAAACAGGGATGGCCATGCTAAAATTTTATTATATCCATATAAACAGATGGAACCATTTCTGAGACAATGAGGGCTGATATTACAACCGTTGTATTCATTTTAAACGATCTGTATAGTCTATTACTTCATAACTTGTCCTGCACCTGTGCTACAGATGCAAATGACACCTCATTTCATGCATCAGACATACAGTTTTTGCCAGGTGGGCAAAACAATCTCACAGACTTTTGCTGTGAAATCTTTACTGATTTTTATAAAGTAAACATTTCAAGATGAACAATGAATATCCTACTTTTATATCATACTATTTGAGCCATAAAAGCCTGATGTATCACAAAATACATAAAAACTTAAAATAAAAATACTTTGTCTAAAGGTTCAACAAACTGTTCAATTAAAAACGTTAGGTTGGGCTATACACCTATATCTACAGTAACTGGAAAGACACCTGAACAACATATGCGTTGAAATGTTCTGAATGAAATGTTGGAAGTGCTGGTTTTCCACTTCTGGGACAAGCCAAAATGCTGGAGACATGACTTGAGTTGAGTTGTGATGTGTTTGCCTTCTCTCTTATTTATGACACATGGGCTGTCAATGCTTTAAATCATTGATTAGATCACAGATCCATCTTTGTAAGTAGTGCAGAGGTTAGTGGATTTTAGGGTGGATTTTCCAGTTCAATGTGAATAAGGATCGTGTTGAGTAAAGACTTTCTGCCCTTTTGTCAGGCTTTCATTCTGCTTTGTTCTGGTTCAGTTGGCGGGGCATGTTCATTCAACAGAATATCTGAATAAACAACGTCATGCTAAAAAAACACCATGTCAAAATTTTACCCACATTTTTGTTGTCTTTTGATACAGGGTGGGTAGGGACTGAGAAGAAAAGACGCACAAAGACTTTCTGGATATATAAAGGATTTTGAAATCACCTCAGACCGTTCCTCGGCATGTGCAACCTCCTCCTGGAGCAGATTGTGGGCAGTCTGAGGGCTGTGCTTCTCCGTGAAGACCTCTGGAAAACCACAAACATTTAATCTCAGTCAGTTTCAATTCTCAACATGACACTGGCTCAGAATCGAATTAAACATCACTATGAGAGATGGGAGCGAAAATGAATTTCTATAGATATTACTGTGACTCTACAGCACGTCACTTGCCCCGCTGCTGAATCTACAGCCCTACAGCAAAAAGACAACACTGAATAATATGTAGATAATAAATAGCCTCCTGTTACATAGAGTGGGTGAATTTTAGTCTGTTTTCAGTTAATTGGTTGAACAGATTCACAAAATTGCTTAATCACTCGAAGAGTTGAGTGGTTCACAGTTATGGAGTTAATAACTCACTCATCAAAGTAGCCGTTATATGTGTAGGGAAAATGTTTTGTGCTGTATATTTTATCTTACAGTTATCAATGGACTTACTTAACGTCTGTTCACAGCAACACGAAAATTTGGTTCAGACCAATGCGAATAATCAGCAGACGGGCTGATTGAAAATGCGATTTCACTCTCGAACACTAGGTGGAAAAGAGCTTAGATCACCTCTTCATAAAACACGTCGCACTGATGGCATGCAGATGTTTTTAGCAAAGAGGCACACGTTTCTTTGAGTTGTGTAGTGTATTCTCGACTTTTGACAAAGAGTGAATGTTTGCATCAGTCTGAACAGTATATTCAAATTTTGCCCTTAACATTCGTCTTGGTGTGAACATACATTGTGCTTAGAACAAGAAAAACGCATTAATTCATATAATCCACTAGTAAACAGTAATTAGCTGATAAAAAGATTGCCATTGAGTTGCTAGTGTTGAACAGCAATAAACTTAGGCATATTTAGGCATAATTTTGTGATTTCCATTATCAACAACTAAAACGGTTTCATTAATTTCATTGTGAAATGGACTAAAATTTTTAATAAAAATTACATGACAAAATATTTGAATCATTTGAAGAAACATCTTTCAAAAACAAAAAAACTTACTGACCCCAAAGTTGTGAACAGCAATGCATATGTAAATAAAACAAGAATAATTCTATTGTCAAAGACAATAGATAAAATGGCATATTCAATATACCGTATGCATTGTAAATAGTATAAAATGATACTTTTGAACGTAAGCATCAAATATACAGCTTCATATGTATGGTTTTTCTAACATAGTTGGTTTGCTCGGTAGCTCACGCGATACAGTACGAATCCCGTGAACCTACAGTTCGACAAGACAGTTGAAACCTGTGAATAAGGAAGTTAAAATAGCACGATTGCATTAGCGAATGCGTTTTTATATCACTTTTGCCTTCGTAAACAATATCGGGTAGGTTTAGGGGGTTATGTTATTTTCCAACACAATAGAGCATTAACATTTTAACGGCATTCCCCGGCCGCACATATGAATTCTGAACTGCCACAATACGTACCTGAAACAACGTAATAAAGAACAAAACAATACATGCCTGAACCAATATAAAAATGTGGCCATGGTCACGTATTGAAGGCACGTTTTAGCGCCACTCACTGGACATTTCCCTTTGAAACTCCCGCGAAACGTGCAGTACAGTTGCAGAAATGTCGTATTTCCAATGAGCCTGGGCTGGAAAGTCCAGACTCAAAAGAAGTTAAGAACTTAACTGTGTAAAGCAATTCAAATGAAAGTCCTATGCAAATGAAAGAGAACAGAAAAAGCTAGCAAAATACTATAGATACACAAAACATAAATAACTGCAATATTATCATACTGCGTTTCAGATATTGATATAATGTCCTATCTCTGAAGTCTCATTCACACTAAGGATGATAACTATAAATATTAACTCTAAATAACCATTCTAATTACATGAGGATAGCAAAGTTTACACCACAACACTACAACAATAACGACACGGAGGAACGATATTGTTGGAATCACTTTCAGAACTATTTTTTAATCTGATGAAAGATTAAAAACATTGACAGCCAATCAGAATCCAGACTTTAAAGAACTTGAGAATTTGAAGCATTAGATTAAACAACCGCAGAGTGTTTATAAGAAATGTTTTCATACCTTGGTTTGTTCTTGGTGTGAATAGGCTGATTGCCACCCGCAGTAACCAAGTTAACGACTTCCTGACTGAATCATGCGAGCGGTGGGTTAAAAACTCGCTCACTAAGTCAGTCAGGAACTGTTACACGTTTGAACGTGCAAGCGCGCATTAGATTTGAGAGCTATGCACAAGAGGATGATTTCCAGAAAATAACATACATTTCTGTCTGTTCTTCACATAAAGCTATCGCATGACTTCAGAAGATTTCAAACATGCTATGATTGCTTTTGTGGTCCTTTTGATGCATGATGCAATAAATGGCACATTAATACATAAAAAACACTAGCTGATAGCATCCCACTGCACAAACAGAAATGAGGTCTCTCCGGGGCTGGTAACTGTGTGCCAGCAGGACAAAAGAACATCACAATAGTGTGTGAAAACATATCTAGAGTGTGTTCAGCTGTGAAGAATCTCCGCTGCTTGAGTCTTGTGTAAAGTGCGAGACTGAAGCTGCTCTCAGGTCTCTTTGCAGTGGTATTGCAGGGCCCTGAGGGTGAGGGTGGATGCAATCACTTTCTGTTAGCTCATGTCCACTGATGAGAGTGAGGGGCTCGGACCCTCTAAGTGTTGTGCTGGGGTTGCTACGGCAACCGGCAATTATGCTAATGTATAGATGTGCTGTGCTGAGTCCACAGGGGATATGAAAGCTGAGCTAGCGGCCATCAAGGGCATAGACAGGTCACGGCAATGACACCATTTGTGCTCGATTGAGCTGAGCCGCTCCCCAAACAAACCTCTATTATAGGAGGGAAACGCTCCTGAGATAATTACTGGGGAGGTACCATGGTAAAATGAAGGTATTAACTGGTAATTATAATGGTACTGTATGATTATTCACTGGTTAAATGGTAATCCAAAAAGTTTATTTTAATAAGGAAAAAATATATAAATGTTACATTAAAAAATACTATTTATACAGTGAATTTATTATACATTACAGTATATTCATGTAATTTATTCAAGAAGATAATATATGCTCTTTTACGATTTTTCAGCATTATAAAGAATTAATCAGTTTAAAATGTAGGATGAAATTAGTATTATATTTAACAAAATGCTACATGTACTTTTAATGTAAAAGTAAATATTTGTTACAAATTATGTTTTACACTGAAAAACAGCAAAACAGGGTGGTTATTGGAACTTCCTGCCAACATTTTCACTGCCCTCACCACAAAAAATAAATAATTTTAAATGTGTCGCAAAAATATATATTAATCATTTCATTTAATGTTTCAGTTTTTACAAAAAAAGTCAAATAATTAAAAAACATTTATTATATACACTACCACTCAAACGGTTGGGGTCAGTAAGATTTTGAAGAAGGTTTCTAAGAAATTTGTATTTTTATTGAGAAAGAATGTGTTAAAGTGATCAAAATTGTCAATAAAGACTTTTACATTTTTACAAAAAATTATATTTGAAATAAATACTGCTTTTGAACTTTCTATTCATCAAAGAATCCTGAAAATAACTGCTAAAAATTCAGATTTCAATCATAAATTACATTTAAAAATACTAAATGGTTTATTTCAATTTTTAAATGAAAAAGAAAACAGTTAATTAAAACTGTAATAATGTTCCACATTACTGTTTTTACTGTATTTCTTTCTTTTTTTAACAAATATATGCAGACCTAGTAAGCATAAGAAACTAAAATAGAACTATATAGTGTATGGAAATACAAACATTACAATAATTTGATTGTCAAGAGATAATATTTGTTTTTATTTATCTTTTTTCCCTTCGTTAAAATTATACAAAAAGCAGTTTCATGGCTGGTAAGCAATATCTCTGTATGATACATTTTCTCAATTCACTTGCTATTGGCAGGTGTGGCAAAAACATGTAACATACTGTATGTGGCTTAAACGGACTGCAATTCTATTTGGTCCAGCTAGTAGTGCAGCAATTACACATATAATTACACTGTAATAATCATGGTACTGATCAAAAACATGCCATTACCATTATACCACATCCAAATAGTCATGGTAATATCATGCTCCTATTCAAGTGAGTTACTGCATCTTCAGACATGCTTTTTCAAGCTTTTACAGCTCCTTAGTTCAAGTTAATCTATCTGAGATCCTCTCATGGAAGCAAGACTCATATATGATGAGCTTCATCCTTAATTAATCTTGTCACTACTATGGATTGATGCCAACATTCAGGCACGCGCCTTGCCAATAACTCACAACAAAGCCTTTAATATTGCTGCTACATGCCCCGCTCTCAGAACATGAATAATCAAAGGCCCACTATGTCACATGCATTAGTGTGTATCTGTACGTTCTGGCCGTGTGCCTGCTGAGGCATGACGGCGTGAGCGAGGGGGGAGTGGCACACCACGTGCGTGACCCCGGAGACCCACGAAATGAAACGGTAATGGAAGGTGACAGACAGCCAAACAAACTCTTGGGGAGCAGCTGTGGGTGACCTACATACTGGGGAGAAACCATGCAGATGAGCCGCAGGGTGTCCACTTCATGGCGAGGAAACTACTGGAGCCAGAGATATGACCTGGGGCTTATGGGGTCTCACAGTTACGATGGCTCTTGATGGATACAAAGCTAAGGACCCAAAGCTTTTATAGTGACATGACAGATCACAGTCCGTGTAGATACAATAGCAAAAAAGAAGAAGTGAGAATTTAATGAAATGGTCAATCAGAGAAATAAATTCCTCATTCATCTGGACTGAACTTCAGAGATCAATAACCAGAGCAAAGTGCTGTCCTCCCTCCATGAATACATAATGCTAACTGATTTCATTGACTGAACACAATCGTTTTGTTCCAAACAAAAGGTCTTTTGCGGTCTGACTTTAGCATCCGGTTGTTTGCAAAAGAAAAACATTCATCGTTCTAATTCCGCAAAAGGCAAAATTGTCTCTTCTCACTAGGCTTGCCGCGATAGATGGTGCT